TGAGATGTCAGCTGGCACGGCCCCCGCGGGCTGCAGGCTGGCCACGGCGGGGCACGAAGGTGACTGCAGGGGACAAGCATCTGCTTTAAACGACCCACGTGAGCGCCTGGTAAAAATGCATCTGGAGGCAGGCCAGCCTCTGGCAAAGCACAGCCAGAGACGGGCGTGGGGCAGAGCCTCCAAGTCCTCCAAGGCTGGAGGAATAACCTTGACGTTCAAGAGCAGAAAGAAAAGCAAGCCTCATTCAGACAAGGCACTTTCCTTGAAAGCTGTTTTCCCAACCCCTTGAAACTTTTTCTCCTCTCCAGATAAAGCAGTAGGTGAAAATTCTGAAGCTGAGAGGCACAGCAGGTATCCCTGCTTCCCCAGCTGTTGCAGTGCCATGGGTACTGACTCTGGATTTGCAAAGCTTTTGCAGCAAGAATGGGAAGGAAGATGGCCCAGGGAGAGAAGAACTCAGGTCTCCGTGCTTGCAGGAGCCCCATGGGCTGCCAGAGCTGCCCTACAGAACCTGTGCCCCATGCCCATGGCATGGCCAAGCCCCTGCTGGGCAGTGCCTGCTCCTCACCTCTCCAGCGAGTGCAGGAAGTCAGTCATGCAGGTCCTGAAGGCAGCATCTGCCACGTTCAGGGCACCACAGACAACACCCAGCATCGTGTCCGGCTTCTCTGCCTGTGGGAGGCAAACATAACGGGGGGTGGGTCTTATGCCAGAGGGGGAGTGGTGACCCCATGGGGACCAATCTCCCCCACCTGCACTTTCTCGGCAATCAGATGGTCCAGCCAGCCCGTGTCTATCTCGTTGTTCTGGAAGCTCTCTGTCTCCAGCAGCTTAACCAGATACTCCACCGTGGTCCGGAAATCCCCACGGATGGACAGCTCTTTCAGGGCAACCACCATGTTCCTTTTAGGGAGCAAAACCCTCCATTAGCAAACAATGAGGAGGTGTTTGGCTTCAGCAGAGAAAATGGGGGAACCACAGGGACCAGGGTGATGAGCCTCCAAGCTCTGGGCACCCTCAGGGCTGGATGAAACAGGTCCTCTGAGGTAAAAGCCACTTTTCCAGGCTCATGCAGCAACTGCAAGTCTTCCCAAGGACACCTGCTTTCCGCCCCATCCTGCCACACTCACGAGATGGCCTCCTCCCGGTTCTCTCCCCACGAGAAGCAGTGCCCAAACTGGGAATCAGCAAACTCGTGCAGGCCCCCAGCTGCTGCCACGCTGAAATACCCCCAGACGTTCTTGCTGCTGCGGAAGTTCAGCTCCTGCACTGTCCCCGAGCTAGGCTTGAAGCCCTGAGTGAAGGCAGAGCAGAAGACACAGAAACCAGGCTTGAGACTCATACAGCATGAACAGAGGGGAGCTCCTGTGCCATGTATCAGCCTGCACCTGGATGTCAGCAATCCCATGGATTCAATGCCCATGAGCATTGCCCAGCTGGGAAAGACCATGCCCAGCTCAGCCCCACAGGGGCAGGGTCCCTCCATCCCCACACAGGAGGCTCAAGACCCTGTCCCTGTCCCCTCAGTGCCCTCAGCTCACCTCCTCGGGGTTCTCGCTGGTGATGCGGGCGGCGATGACGTGTCCCCTGGGCACGGGGGGGTTGGTGGGGCTGTGGAAGCAGATGGGAGTATCGCCCCACGGGCTCTCCCCGTACAGCACCCGGATGTCTTTGATCCTGTGCAAGGGGATACCCATTGCAATCTGCACGGGTAACAACAAGGATTGAGCTGCCGGAACAAGACTTCAGTATCCAGATTACAAGCAGGAGACATTGATAGATTATCTAAATGAAGAGTGAGGGGAAGAGGAGCCATGCTGCAAGCAGCTGCTCCAAGCAGGGAGCCAAAGGTAAGGAGGGATGCTACATTGCTTCTGTCTGCACCCTACCTGCTGGCAGATGGGACAGCTTCCCTCTGCCAGGCTCCAGCCTAGCTCTTCTCCCTGAATTAAAAAACTGCTTCATCTAACACTCACAAGGTCTCCCACGCGCACTCAGGTACCTGCAGCTGGGCAGCGGGGAGGTTCACATCGGCGATCATCTCTGTGCACGGGTGCTCCACCTGCAGGCGCGGGTTCAGCTCCAGGAAGTGGAAGCTCCCGTCCTCACTGTAGAGGTACTCCACGGTGCCTGTGCTCACGTAGCCAGCCATCTGAGCCAGGCGGACAGCACACTGCAGGAGAGGGGGGCATCACCACGGGGGGCAACAATCCTTGCACAGATCCAAGGAGGGGAGCAGGGCTGGAGCTCTCCAGTTGTCTTTAGGGGTCCCTCCCTTCCTTAGGAGCCTCAGGTGCCGAAAACCACAACGAACCCCGCACAGAAACCACCACTTTCTCACTAGACTCCTGTCAAGACCCCAGGGCCACCCACCTTCTCCATCACCTCGATAACAGAGGGGTCTGCAATGGTGGTGGGTGCCTCCTCGATGATCTTCTGGTGCCGGCGCTGGATGGAGCAGTCGCGGCCGAAGAGGGAGATGGCGTTGCCGTACTCATCTGCCAGCACCTGCACCTCCAGGTGCCGCGCGTGCTGCGCCAGCTTCATCAGGAAGATGGGGGACCCGGGGGCCTCTGCCTGCACCTGTGGTGAGGGATAGGGTCATGGTCTGGCATCAGCCCCCAAAGCACCCCCCAGGATGGTCCTGCAGTGAAGGGTGGGAAGCGCAGGACACCCAGGGCGGGAGCAGGTCCCTGCTGAATGCCTCAGGATAGCACAGGGATCAGGATGGGGGTTCAGGGCACCCCTCACCTGCCGGAAGCTGGTGCCAAATTCCTCTGCTACCTCCACTTTTCGGATGCCTTTTCCCCCACCACCTTCTGCTGCCTTGATCATCAGTGGGTAGCCGATCCTCTTGGCTATCTGGGGGGGCAGAATGACCAGCATGACTGAAGTTCTTTGGACCCAAATGCATCACCCGAACAGCCCACCCTGTCCCAGCCCCGAGCTGCATCTCTGCAGAGGGCAGAACTGCTGTCACATGCAGTGGGAGCCCAAAAGGGCTCCAAAGAGAACTGCAATGGTGGACAAGAGACAATGGGAGGTTCATGGGCTCATCTTTACCTCCAGGCCTTCTTCCACGTCCTTCACACAGCCTCGTGCGTATGTCTCAAGGGGAATGCTGATCATCTGCTGATCCTTCTGTTCCTCCTCAGACCACTGGGCCATCAGACCTGCAGGCATGGCCAGGGCTGTGTTTACCACCAGAGTGGCATGGCTGGGGTGGCAGGCTGCTTGTATCCAAGAGAGCTGGGGACTCCATGGTGGCACACACCATTTCCCCTCTATCCATCCACTCCATCCCTAAAAATCCCTCTGCCTGAACCAGCAGTCAGTCCACTGCAGGAGGGTCCCCAGCATCTGCAGCCACCCTGTGATGGAGTCCTCCTCTCTGGTTGCTTTGGGGGAGAAGGGGAGGCAAGAAGGAGAGAAGTGGGGGAGCAGGGATGGTGTGTGGGGCAGGGGAGGAGGTGCTTACCACTCCCACTCCACAGCAGTGTGGGGATCTGGACCGTCTGAGCCACGATGGTGGAGGCGACTTTGTCCCCTAGAGCCCACATGGCATCACTGGGGGGACCTTCAAACAAGGAGGGAGAGGGTGAGCTGGACCAGTCTGGCCAGCCAGCTCAGCCCCATCACACAGATGCTGCAGAAAGCTACTGCCCACTGAGCCAGCACCACCTGCCCTTCTGCAAAAAGTGGGCGTGTGGGGAAACCTCCCAAACTCACTGCCCTGCTCAAGTTTGAGCTCGACCTCTCTCCAAGGGGAGAGCTGAGACTGCCCCCTGGCTGGGCAGCACACAAGGTCTGCTCATAAGCATGAGCATTACAGGGAAAACTCTAGAAAAGAGTGGGATTCCTGGAACAGCTCCAAGAAACCAGTCGGGGGGCTGCCACATGCAGGGGGACATGCCAAATGGGCATTGGTTCCTGGGGAGCAAGTCTGCATGCACATGTTAGCCCACTGCTCCCTCTGGCTTAGAGAAGGCAGCCAGACCTTACCTAGGAAAGCTATCCCATTTTTCTGCAGCAGCTCTGGCAGCTTGGGGTTTTCTGAGGCATGTCCCCAGCCAGCCCACACAGCCTGGCACAAGAGAAGGAGCAGCACAAGCTGTTACCTCCCCTCACCCACAGCATCACACCCAGCTCCTCCACACAGAAGGATGTCACCCCCTTCCTGAGTGCTCCTTCTTTCCCACCCACTTCCCTTGGAAAAGAGGAGGGAGGCCTGCAAGTGGCTGCTACCTGCACTGGGATCCGTTTGGAAATGTCCACGATTAGCTCCACGTTGGCATAGTTGTTGTTGTTGGCCCCCCCAGGGACAGGCACGTAGTGATCTGCCATTTTGATGTACTCTGAAAGACAGCACATGGCAGTCCCTGCACCTGCCCCCAAAACCCTCCATCCCAGGGAGGCTGGAGCAGGGGGGAAATTATTTATTCCTGAATCTGGCTGTGCAGGAGAAAACTGTGCAACCCTGGGCTGTGCAGAGCCCTGTCCCAGGCAGCACTGCAGGGAGGAGGAAACGGCGGCCCCAGCTCAGCTCCGGGGGGGAGGAACATCCCTTTCTGGGATGCATTCAGGGATTACCAGCATTAGCCTTGAGGTCCTCAGGGGTGACCATGACCACGAAGCGGATGGCGCGCTCGTTGCGGAACATCTCGTAGGCCCAGCGGCGGATGGAGCGCATGCACTTCACCGCCGCGATGCCGTTGTTGGCGATGAGCACCTGGGCAGGAGGGAGACACAAGGCTGGAACCTCTCCTTGCTGCTGGGCTGGACACACAGCCCCAAGAGGCAGCAGCAGAGAGGCGTGAGGTGGGTGCTTCACAACAGGTGGTTGTATGCACCAGTGCAGCAGGAGGCTCCTGAACAGCAGCTTTGATACCTGGCACTGGGGTTAACAAAGGACAGGACTTTGGCCTCTGTCTGTGCCAGCCATGCTGAGCTGCTGCAAACAGCTGCCGTGCAAGGGCAGCACTGGGAGGGTTCCCCCTCCCAGCCCACAAGGGTGGGTGAAGCCAGAGGACAAACAGCTCTGGGCTGCCCAGATTGTCATCAGTCTGAGGCTGGTGGGCTCAGGAGCCTTGGGCAACACTTGATCGAAAAGCACCAACCCAGGCAATGAAAGGCAGGGGAAGAGGAAAGACCTTCTCGATGACGCGGGTGCCCCCGAAGCGGGTGACAAACTCTGCCGGCGAGGCGACGGTGAAGTCCCTCTGCAGCTCCATCTTCCTGTGCTCCCGGCCCCTCTTCGCCAGGTTCAGCCCGGACATGCTGGGCCTGCAGTGGGATGGGGCAGCCATCAGCCAGACCACGGTCACCCAGGTCAGCCCTCACCAGGCAACAGCTGTGCTGCTACTTCTCCTGGGGGGCTGGGGCTGCAGAGAGCTCAGCAGCCCTGCGGCAGCAGGCACTGGAGACCAGACTTTGCCCCCTCTGTGGTTTCTTCCAAGGAAAGCAGTAAAACCTTCACCCTGCTGATACATGCAGCCAACATTGGGATTCACCTTTCTCACTACCAGCTCTCTGTCATGCACTGGGATCTCTCCAGAGGCATTTAAAAACCACTGCAACATGCAGAGGGAATCTTTTTGGCTGAGTTATATGTGGGAAGGCATTTTAGTGGGGACGGAGTGCAATTAGAAGACCCCGTCAGCAGCTGGGGGTCCACCTTGATTCAAACAGATTTGCAGCCTCAGGGACTGGCCCAAGATGCTGCTGCACCACACCAAAGCCCCAGGGTTTGCATTTCAGGGAGCAGAGGGCTGCTCAGGGTTTTTGGAAGCATGCTTGTGTCATAGAATCACAGAACCATTCAGGTTGGAAGAGACCCCTGGGATCACCGAGTCCAACCATCAGTGTCTAGAACACTGCAACTGCCACAGCACAGCCACACCTGCTTCTGCACTGCTGAAAGTGCCACGCTCTGCTCCAAGGGCCAGGGAGCAGCGAGACTTCCAAGGGACCGAAACGCAGCCCACTCCCTCCCTCCCACTGCTGGGATGTTACAGGCACAAGTGCCCCTTTGCAGTGGCTGAGATGTGCTGAACAGCCCCTGCAGCTCCTGGTTTGCACCAAAACCCTTTCCCAAGCTCACCACATTGCCAGCCAGACTACCCCTACCATGGTTTTCCACTGAAGGCATTCCCACACCCTCCAGAGTCTCTACTCCTTTGCTCACAGCCCATGGTGCATCCCCGAAGTGAGCAGGTGGGGCAGGCTGAGCTGGTGGCCAGAGCAGCCCCTCTGCAGGAGCCTGGCCCCAGCAGGGCTATAAGGGAGCCCCTCACACCCACCTCCTGGCACCATGGCAGCCAGTGCTGGGGGCTCTGGCAGTGCTGGAAGCCCATTGCAGGCAGGGACCTCCCTGGCAGCCAGTGCTGGGGGCTCTGGCAGTGCTGGAAGCCCATTGCAGGCAGGGACCTCCCTGGCAGCCAGTGCTGGGGGCTCTGGCAGTGCTGGAAGCCCATTGCAGGCAGGGACCTCCCTGGCAGCCAGGCACGTGTCTTGCTGTGATTCTGCCCAGAGTTTTAAACAACTTTCTATTTTAATTAGCAGATTCACATTCCTCCCTCATAGCTCAGCCAGATTTTGAACTGTTGTTATTCCATGGATGAGCTACAAACAGTTAAAGGAAGAAGGACCAGCCCACACCTCCAAGAATGAACAGATTTTGCACAAGTAGCTCATTTATTTCGAGGGGAAATGTGTTGAAACCCCCCGGGACGTTGGGAAACGTCCCAACCTCTCCATGCCCTCAGAGTATTTTCCAAAGAGCTGCAGCACTGCACCAAACAGTGCTGGGTTTGCCACACTCTGGCACATCCCCTGCCCCACTCAGCAGCTGTGCTGCCCCTTCCCCAGGCCCCACCACCAAGCCCATGCCAGCACATCCATCCCATCCTGCAAACGGCCCCAACCACATCTGCAGGGCGACTTGGGCAGCAACACAAGGACACTCCTCCCGCCTCAGAATGCGGACGAACAGCGAGGTGTGTGAAACCACCCCAAACCCAGCTGGGCAAGAGAACACCGTTGGGCTGTCAAGTTTCATAACACGTGTCTGCAGCCAAAGGTCTGCTATTTTTAACCACTGCAGGAGCGGAGGGGCCGGGAGGAGCTGAGCAGCAGCACTTTGTTTCCAGCTCTCTATGGCGGCCCCGAGCACGGGCAGCCCCCTGCTCAAGGCACCAGCAGCAATGAGCTTCCCCACAGGGAAAAGGTCTCTGTAAAGCTACCCCCGGAGCAATACTCATCCACTTTTCATCAACTCACTACAAAACCACTTTGAATAGTTTCTCTGCAGTAGTTGCAAGGGCAGAGGAAGGGCAGGAGAGGCACAGGAGCAAACCACAAGCCCCCATCCTCCTGGGATGGTGTTTCCCCAGAGGCAGTGCCAGGAGTGTACCCCAATAGCACAAGGGAAGAACACATGGCAGCAGGAGACCACCCCAACGCTGGGGCCACAGGGCAGCATCTGCAAGTTCAAGTGCCCTGTCAGAAGGCTCAGCTCAGCTCCCAGGTTTCCACACCACTCCATGAGATTGCCCCTTGCAACACTCATGCACAAAACATGCACTCAGAAAGAGGGCAAGCACAGGGCAAACCCTGTCCCCACACTCACCACCACATCCAATCCCAGTATCATCTTGCCACACAAGAAAATCCCTGTTCCCTGATGCACCCCCCTGCTGTGCCCACCACAGCTGTGACCAGTGCATCAGCATGGCCTTTCCCAGCATCAGGAGATGGTGCAGGGACAGAGAGAAGCAGCAAAATGAGAAAAGAAGCTGTGAAAAAACAGCAGCAACTTGGCAATCCAGCCACAGCACTAGGATTGCATGGGAAGGAACACCATGCACTTTACACCCTGTTCCCTGACATCCAGAATCACTGCAATGAAGCAACCCCTGCTCCAGTCCTCACTGTGCACGTGGTGCTGCTGTCACACAGAGTGCTTGGACACATCTGCTCTGCCCAGGGTGCTGCCACTAACCTTATGATCAGGGTTTTTCCATGGAGCACCAAGTCAAAGCGGGCAGGATGGGAGCATTGATTTGGGACTCCAAGAAGCACGCGCACACAACCCCCCCAGTTTTAGCAACAGCAACCCAGGGAAACACAGCCACAAAAAGCATCTGCCTGCTCCAAATGGAACACGTTTGTCCCACCACCAATCTCGACCCCACGTGCTGTACCTCATGCCAGTGGCCGGCTCCTGTGGGGTGGCCACAGCCAGGGGCTCAGCACTGGTCCCCCCCATCCCGACCAGGCTGCTGCGCCGGCTGCCCACCCTGAAGGCCGTGGTCACCAGCTCGTCGTCAGAGGAGTTGTCCTCAAAGGAACCCAGCACAAACTTGGCCAGGGTGGGCCGGCGAAGAGCAGCAGGGTTGTACACCACGATCTGCTCCTTGTCCCCTGCCGCAGCCTTGCCAGCCCTCGGTGACGAGCTGGGGGTCACGGGGGTGGGCGACATCGGGGGCTTGGCCACGGTGTGAGCCCCCGGCTGCTCGGCTGGGACCTTCTCCTCCTCCCCGGGTTGAGGCTTGGACATTTTGGCTCAGACAAACAGCACCAGCACCAGCAGGAGCAGGGCAGCCAGCAGCATTCACCTGCCTTGGGGAGACACATGGAGACACCCCATCAGGGCAGACCCCCATCAACCAGTTTGGGGGGGGGGACAGCAGCAGAACCCCGAAACAGTGAGACCCCTCGTCCAACCCCCCCCACAACAACCCCCCAGACCCTCCTCCAGCTCAGCCAGGCTGCCTGCAGGCTCAGCCAGAGCTATTTTTACTCCCCAAAACAGGAGCAGCTGACAGGGGGTATGGCAGGGGACACAGCTCTGCTCTGCTTCCACCTGGGGGCTGAAATGGCCTCCCCCCCGTCCCCAGCTGCTCCCAGCAGCCTGAGGATGGTGCTGAGGCTGCCCTGCCAACCCCAGCCCCTCAGAGATAGGGGGGCCCCTATAAACCCAACTCCCAAATCTTGACAAGCAGTTAAAGCTGAGGGTGGTTGTGAAGGAAAACCACCCCAGGCCCGCCACGCTCCCCTCAGCACCACCCAGCTCCCCTCACAGAACCTTTCCAGTTGGAAAAGACCTTTTAAGATCATAAAGTCCAATTTTTAACCCCAGTACTAAACCCTCAGCCCCACCGTGCTCCCCTCGGCCCCAGCCCCATCCTGGGGGTCACGTCCCCACTCACCATGGGTGCAGAGCCCTTTGGGTTCCCCCTCCATGCCGGGAGGGACAAACACCAGCTGTGCCTGCCCACACCAGGGCTGCCACCAGCCCTTATCTGTGCGTGGACACGGGGCCAGGAAGGGCCACGGCCTCCCCCAGCACAGCAAAGCTGCCTCCCCGCACGTGACAGCAACGTCAAGCTGAAATATTTCCCCACTAAACACGCCTGGAAAACTTCTGGAGGCGAGGGTGGAAAGCTGGGAAGGGGGGGGGGAGCTTGGCATGGCAGGCCAGGGACACCCGATCCTTGGGGGAAAAGGGGCCC